CAGGAGGTTGTAAACATGTGGCTTCATAGAAGAAGTGAGGAACCATCTGTAACATCTACTCAGTGTTATTGATAATTATGTACACTTGGCTAGATTGTTAAAGAAACCTCTTCATCCACTACAGGAAAATAAATCAGTACTTTTATATTCTTAGGATTTGTATATATTTTTTATTTGTAAATAAATTGTTTTTTTACTTCATTTTTCTCATTTTTTATTAAAAGGTTAATAAATAAAATTTTCACAGATTTTTATATTTTTGTTTGTAAACAATAATTGAAGTTTTTATTAAAAATCACCAATGTTAATAATAATAACTTAAGTCAATATTATTCTTTCTCCTTTTTTAAAGCTACTATTAATAAAGGTATTACTTTAGCTTGACCTATGATCAATTTTTAATTTTGTGATATATTTGGTTTGACAGAAAAAAAATTAAAACCATTTGACATTGGTTGTTTTTACTTAGATTTTCATAAAAAATAAACGGAACTGCAAACATGTTTTACTATCGTAATAACGAATAGCAACATGAAATTTTTTTTTCACATTTATCACTGTTGTCATTTTCATAAGAAGGCACACTTTCTGGTTTTTTGAAAAAGGTGGCAAGAACTGTGATATTTTTAAATTTATCACCAGTGATACCACATGTAGTTACCCGATTTATTGGAATATATAGACTTTGCTACCACATTCAACTGAACTTGGTTTTTAATATTTATCACTGTGACATAGGCGTTTTTGTTAAAATGTTTCATTTTAAACTGCTGTAAATAGGTGCCTTTGTTTTGGTAGTTTCAGTCCCAAAAAAATCTATGCATATACAGGTACTCATTCCTCTTCAATTTGCTCGAAAAGTTAAATTTTTATCAAAAATTACATTGGCTGTTTAAAAACTCATTATAATCCCTGAAATGTGATAATTAGGTAAATTAAATTAAAAAACAAAAAAGTTTATTAAATTAATATTTACTCTTACAAAATAGGTTCTTGTAAGTTAACAAGCAATTATGCAGATATTACTAAGTAAATGTACTTGCTTAAAATTCACACACGAATGTGGTTTTAACATGTTAAATTAACTAACCCTTCTTATAACTCTTTCCACATGTATTCTTAGAGATGCTATTCTTTTACTTAATTGTACATCTTCTTGAGAAGTTTTTTCATTCTGTGATACACTAGGTGTGGCTTTACTAAAGTGTATCCCATGTTTTCAAGTAGCTGATTATTCTGAAACCCCTATCTGCCATTATATGGGATCCAGGAACCAGTTTGTTTAAATACCCACATTTTTCCATTATTTCTTTATCACTAGTTCTTCCACAAAATGATGAATAAATTCGGTATCTTCAAAACTTTCAGGAGATTCTGCATTTTCTTCCAGAAGGGTTTTTAGGTTATACACCTAAGAATTTATAGTATCCTTATTTTCAATTTCCTGAAGGGGACAATTAGCAGAAATTGCTGCTACATCTTGATAATCCCGTGTATTTTTATTAAAAAGTTCACGAGAAACATCGCTAGTAGAAGGTTGATTTTCTTCTTTCCAAATTTCTAGGAACACTAATAAATATTTTTGAAGATGCATGTGAATCATTATCACAGTCTGGAACAAAACACTTTTTCGTAGTCATAATATTTTTAAAAAGTACAAAATTAAACAATCAAATTCCAAATAAATTCTTGATGGAGACACTATGATGACAGATGCCATACACAGTGCTGCCATTTTGCCATTTTCTGAATTATTAAGTGACTTTTAAAACAATGAAACCTTAAATATGGTAAAAGTTTAAACAGAAATAATTAGGCATTCCAAACAAATGAATTACCAGTGGGCAGGTTTGGTGTATCTAAGGGTGGCGACATTATGGTGTATTCTATCTACTTTACGTAAAATCAGGAATAATGGATTACATTTAAATATTTTATGTCAAACACAATAAAAATAATATTTAAAAAACCCACCTATACATTTATTCATAAATTGGCAGGCTTGGCGAGTACTACTTCGAATAAAAATAGCGTCCAAGTTGCAAGACTATGTCGCTACCCCCCTTAAATATACAAGGATTTCCCACTGGCACCTATTGTTTGACAGGTCGTTGGAATGCCTAATACTTTAAAAAAACAATTGATATTATATATTTAAAAGATATTTGTTTAACGATGTTTTAGAAGTCTAAAAGTAAGAAGGAGTACACAAACGAACGTACATCACTTCTCGTAAACCTTCTAGCCGGCAACGTTGTGCGCTAGCTCCTATTGGTCTATTCCCGGTGATGTCATAAATTTTAAAAAAATTCATAACTCCGGCAAATGAATAGATAAAAAAAAATAAAAAAAATATAATTTTATTTTCAACTCTATTATTCATAAAAAAAATTTCAAAATTTTTGAACATGCCCCATTCATTCATATCTTTTTTCTTTTAATAGTTTTTTATCCCATTTTTGTTTTAAATGGGATCTTGAGATGTCCCGAATGATCTTTGAATTTTTTTTCCAGTATATTCCTGGCGTTTTAAAACAAAATTGATTTGTTTATTATTTGCATTTTTCATACGTTTTCGGAGTTCTAGAAATCTTTGAAACAAGCAGTAATTAAAAACTCATATTGTTATGCAATGTACACCATTTTAAAGCTTAGAGTGTCTTCTTTTCGAATGTATTTTTTTTAAGTTGCTGCATTTTCCAGAAATCGGGAAAATTGATCACACCGGGAAAAACCGGACTTTTTTTTTTAAATACTTCTTGTTCCCCGCTGTTCATTTTTTGAACATTAATACCCAGACCGAAGTGAAGCTGATATTCTCACCTTTCCATTTCTATCAATTGATCCCCGTATGTGAGCGTGATTCTTAACTATTTGTTAGAATTATCTCCTCCATTTTTACGCTCTCCGCCTGAGATCCATGATATTCCATCATAACCTAACCACGTGTACCCACGCGCCACGCGCTCACCTTAATCGTCTGCTTTTGTTGGTATACAATCTCTGTTGTTTTTGGAGTCGTTATTGTCGGTATTACTGATAGTATTTTAGAAAAATATTGATAGTATTTTAGAAAAATATTGATAGTATTTTATCATTATCAATTAAGTTGTTAAAAAAAAGAAGTTTTTAAAGTGACAAATTCGACGTCATTCTTGAATTTTCAAGAATTTGTTTTTCGTTTGTGGGGAACAGAAAAGGTTTGTTTGATTTAAAATAAAGTCTATAAATTTGTTGCAATTCTTATTACATTTCAATAATATATTTTGGTAAAGCTCTTGTTGCAGCAATGGAAGCAGACTCCGTTCCAAAATGTTTCCTTTGTGCCCAGTAAGTTGTGGATGACGTTGCAAATGTTACTCGAGGCTTATAAAAATTAATTGATGTGAGCAAGGAAAGGGACGATAATTTTCACCTATTCATAAAGAAGCAATCCTCTATAAAGATGCACGAAACCTGCAGGAGACGCTACATTATTAAACGAAGAGGCGAGTTTCCGTACAACGACTTTATCAAACACTCCTCAAAGAGATTGGACCATTTGACAAGCCCTAAAAAGAAAAAGATAAAACTAGTAACCCATTATTAGGCAAAGCGCCGGGATTTGAGATTGCCACATGAAAAAAAAATTTTTGTTTGCACTTTTCTCTTAAATTTTGCAACGCAAATTACACAGAACATTCAGCAATATAGATGAGATACCCCAAGCGCTACTTTACAGAAAAAATCCCGTAGAATCCGCCAATAATTGTCAAAACATCGATTGGTGCCCGGATTTCCATTCATAGGCTCCATAATTTAGTGAGCAGAGGTATGCCGCTGGCGCCATCTACAATTGGTCTCCAAAGTCCAAAACATGAAAATTAATGTATTCCCAACTCCCTTCAGAAATTCAGTGAGACACTAACATTTATATTCAGTGCAAAATTTCGGGCTTTTTCGAAGGATGTTTTTGCAAAAAATATTCGTCTTGCGAAAAAAATGGTAGGAACTATTTTTGTAGATAATGATACGATCTTCATTTTTTATCTAAACAAAAATTGTCTAATTTGTATATTTCGGTAGATATTAGCGGGAAACCATTTTTTTTGGACTTTAGGGGCCTTTTAAGCCCTTTCCGACCCAGCAGTGTTGGTAAAAGTTTTCGCCCTTGAAAGCAACCGTCAAGACCTAAGAATTGAGCCACAAAGGAAATCTGGACCGACTTAATGACAGCTTTGCATATTTTCAGGTCTTCAGTTACTGGACTATTTGTAGAATTTGTCGATAGTTTTAAATGTAAGATTTTAAAGAACTGATATTCTACTTTATGATTTTTAATAGATAACTAAGCAGATAAATAATACGGTACGATAATATTTGAATATTTCATATTACCACTTGTTTTTTATTTAGATTTCTGTAAAAAAGTAAATTTTTGTCACAACTCTTGGTTGGAAACCTCTGCTATTTTATAACCAAACGAACGAGATAACTAATTTATAAAAGATATAATAAGTGCATCCCACAAACGTAGCCCTAATTTTCATTAAAAACATCTTTTTGTAACATCCATATGATAATACATAAGTCTAGACACTTGACAAAGACAAATCTACATAATTGCAACCTAAGGAATTTGTTAATTAATTAATTAAAACAAAGTGAAATAATCATTAGCAATTTAATGTCAGCATTTAATTACTTATCTCTGTAAAAATAAAATCCAGTGCATTAAATTATCAAGTCAATTTTTCGAGCGCACCCTGTATAGCCAACATCAAATGTTCCATTTAAAAGATGTTTCTCTTGGTATACAGAATGAAAATGAAAATATTACGAAAATTACGCGACATCCGGGCTCAAATGCATTATATTTAGATCAAAAAAATGTAAGTAAATCATTCGAAATCCAGGATAACATTGAGTGCCGTTTCCTTTAGGCTAGCAGTTAATAAGTTTATTGTATAATATGCACCTAGTATTTCGTGGAAAAGTAAAATCTATAAATCTTTAAATAGATACAAGTCCATCTGCACTTCCAGAGCCCTCATTAGTTCACTGGGTAACAGAACAGGGAAGCCTAGCTGCAGCCGCCCACATACACCAAACAGGGATGCTGGAGAAGGAAAATCAATAAATCTCGAATCTCTTCACGCTGCTGGCCCGCTTCCATTCTCCCCATTGGAAAGATGTAGTCGGCCGGGTAAATACACGAGAGCAGCGTCCTCCCTTGTTTTTAATTTTTTCCTCTATTATAATAATTTAAAGAGATGGCTCTTTTTAAAGGATGGTTGTACTTTTATTTGTGGTACTCCAGCATTTTTGCAGGTGAGTTCATTGAAAATAATTGAGTCGATTGTTAAATATTCCTCTATAGATGTGTGAACCAACTTTTTAAATGATAATTCGCCAGAAATATTGACTTGTATAGAATATAAAATAAAATCAAAAAAATTTATTTATATAAATATTCACTCTATTTTTAATTTTTCTTCCTTGTTCGTATTGGTCTAAAAATAATTTGTGTGAACAAATAGTTTTTTAATTACATATACCAAACCATATACAGGGAATGCTCAATGAAGTAAAAACGTAATTGGATTTAAGTGTAAGGATTTATTGGAGATAAGACGATCATAAATTGCATATTTTTAGATTATTTAAAATGACGTTTTAAAGCAAATATAATGATTGGTTAAAGTAGGGTTGCCATATGGATAATATGTAAAAGTAGGACAATTGTACAAAAAAAGCCTGGTTTTTCACAAAAAAGCCTGAATTTTTCCAAAAAAAAACCATTTCTTTGCATATTATGCATTCGACCTTAAAAAAAAATGAGGTTTTCATCTTATTTTTTAATCAACCCCCATGATCCTTCTACGGTGCTTCTAAAAAAAGTCTCAGCTGAAGAAAAGCCGGACATAAAGAAAAGCCGGACATAAAGAAAATCCGGATATAAAGAAAACCCGCACATAAAGAAAAGCCGGACAGAATGAAAAGCCGGAAATAAAGAAAATCCGGACATAAAGAAAAGACAGACATAAACAAAAAACCGGACATAAAGAAAAGCCGGACATAAAGAAAAGCCGGACAGAAAGAAATTCCGGAAAGAAAGAAAAGCCGGACAGAAAGAAAAGCCGGAAAGAAAGAAAAGCCGGACAGAAAGAAAAGCCGAACATAAAAAAAGCCGGACATAAAGAAAAACACATAAATAAAAGCCGGCCGGAAAAAAAAATTGACAAAAAAGGAGGACATGTCTAGCTTTGGCCGGACGTCTGGCAACCCTAAATTTAAAAGTTAATACTGCATGTGATGAACATTATAATTTTTTGTACAGGCAATATAAAACTGATCCACAAATAATATTTCTAAAGTAAGCTTATGAATAAATGAATGAATGAATGAATGAATGAATGAATGAATCAATGAATGAATGAATGAATGAATGAATGAATGAATGAATGAATGAATAAATGAATGAATGAATGAATGAATGAATAAATGAATGAATGAATGAATGAATGAATGAATGAATGAATGAATGAATGAATGAATGAATGAATGAATGAATGAATGAATGAATGAATGAATGAATGAATGAATGAATGAATGAATGAATGAATGAATGAATGAATGAATGAATGAATGAATGAATGAATGAATGAATGAATGAATGAATGAATGAATGAATGAATGAATGAATGAATGAATGAATGAATGAATGAATGAATGAATGAATGAATGAATGAATGAATGAATGAATGAATGAATGAATGAATGAATGAATGAATGAATGAATGAATGAATGAATGAATGAATGAATGAATGAATGAATGAATGAATGAATGAATGAATGAATGAATGAATGAATGAATGAATGAATGAATGAATGAATGAATGAATGAATGAATGAATGAATGAATGAATGAATGAATGAATGAATGAATGAATGAATGAATGAATGAATGAATGAATGAATGAATGAATGAATGAATGAATGAATGAATGAATGAATGAATGAATGAATGAATGAATGAAAGAACGAACGAACGAACGAACGAACGAACGAACGAACGAACGAACGAACGAACGAACGAACGAACGAACGAACGAACGAACGAACGAACGAACGAACGAACGAACGAACGAACGAACGAACGAACGAACGAACGAACGAACGAACGAACGAACGAACGAACGAACGAACGAACGAACGAACGAACGAACGAACGAACGAACGAACGAACGAACGAACGAACGAACGAACGAACGAACGAACGAACGAACGAACGAACGAACGAACGAACGAACGAACGAACGAACGAACGAACGAACGAATGGATGAACAACTAAGGAATAAATTACTTAATTAACGAACAAACAGACAAATGAATAAAATGAAATTAACTAATTCATTAATTAGTAAATAAATTACGGAAATAAAATAAAATACAAATATTTTTTTCAGGTTATGTTCTACTCTTTTGCCCTTTGTTTCCGGTTCTATTAATTTCAAATAAGCTTTACCGGTATATATCAGATGTTTTATTTACATATTGGCAGTTTTATCCCACGGTAAGTTAAAACATTTTTAGTAGATTAATTTCATTAACTATCATCAAGAATATTAAATGGAAAATGTTTTTTTGTCTTTATTTATCTGCTTCTTAGTGGATGAGTTTATACAGGGTGAGTCGGGAGGAGCGCACCAAACTCTAGGAGTATATTATACACGTGAAAATAATGTAAAAAAACGCATATGTTCTTATCCGATTTTCATTTGTTTTCAAGTTATAGCATATTAACAAATAAACAAATTTGCACATAAAAATTCTCTTACAATAAATGTTCAAAAATACCGCCATTGACTTATAAACTTTTTCTGCTTCGTTTACGAAGAGCGTTTGTTGCTCTCCTAATTGATTCATTTCTTTCTTCTTTAATATGGGCTGCAGTATTCTCAATTTGTCTAATTAGTGCATCCCGTGTGTCCACTTTTATTTTGTAGACTTTATTTTTCATCCAGCCCCATAAACAAAAATATAATGGTGTGAGTTCTGGAGATCTTGCAGGCTAATTAATAGGACCTCCACGACCAATCCAACGCCCTGGAAAACGTTTGTCCAAATGTTGCTTGACCTGACGAGCGACATGTGCAGGAGCTCCATCGTGCTGATAGTACATCTGCATTCTAATATTTACAGGAACATCCTCTAGCAGGCCTTGTAATTCATTCTGTAAAAAATTGAGGTAGTTGTCTCCTGTGAGACGATTCTCCAAAATGAAAGGGCCAATTAAATAACTGTCAACCATACCACACCACACGTTTACAGAAAACCGATGTTGAAAATTGCTTTCGACTGTTGCGTGGGGATTTTCGTCTGACCATACATGATAGTTACGAGTATTATTAATGCCATCACGGGTAAATGTAGCTTCATCCGTAAAGAGTATTCTTGATACAACACGATGATTATTATTTATCCACCGACAAAACTCCATACGGTTAACGTAATCCTGTGGTTGTAGGTGATGTACTCTCTGTACGTGATAAGGATATAAGCCTTGCTCGTGGAGTGTGTTTATCACTCTTTTTTGTGGAATTCCCAATTGAGTGGCAATTCTCCGTGAGCTAGTAGTTGCATCTTCTTCTACTAGATGCAGAATATTTTCTACTTCTACAAAACCTTGTCAAGTAGCGCGTTCAGATGTTATGAAAGCACTGGGAAGCTTACCAGTCTCGCACAATTTGTTGAAAACTCTAATAAATACAGTTCATCAAATTTCTAGAGGCTTTCGACGGCTAGACAGAGAAAGCACTACTGACAGGCATCCCGACGGATTTACGCAATGAAAGTACACTCTGCGCATCAAGTATTTCACTATTTCATTCAGACTTAAATGTCAGATGTAAATTTCGCTAAAACATTTCTTTTATTTTCGTTTGTGTTTTTTGCTCATTACAGTTTAATAGAACCTAAGTATGGAGTTTAATAGCAAATTAAGAGGCCGCGTGATTAACAGTCAATCTCGCGAAATAATAGCCAATGTTATAGAGTTTATGAGAAGAGAAGGAAACTTTAATTCACCTTCAATACCATTTAAAAATGTAAATGATCGTGTTGCTGCAGCCACAGGAGTATCTAAAAACACTGTCGTCCGCATTTCTGGAGAGAAAAAAAGAATCGATAACCGTGAGATATCGGAATTTTCATCACCAAGAAAAACCATTAAAAAACCAAAAACAGTTAATGATATAGATGAAGCTGCATAAGAATCAAATTTTATTTTTTTATTATTAGATAGTTATTTTTGTTTCTGAGTTGTGTTCATTTACAGGCTCAATTTTTTTCCGTTTCTCCTTTTTGATTTTATATGGGGTTTCAAGTTGTTTTTGACTTATTTCGACGTAAATCACAACAACACACTTTTTTAATAAAGCAAACAAGTGTTAAGAGGTATATGTACGTGTAAACTACAATTACAAAAAATTGATATGAAACCCATGAAACCACCAACAAAAATGTAAAGCTAGCTTCCGTACTAGAACATGGTGTCATTCGTCGAGATAATTTATCGTTTTGTTTAATAGATCAAGAAATGTAAATATTCCCCTGTTATTTTTTATAAAATTATAAGAGAAATAATTTTTGTTTCTAAATAGTATAGTTTATTATTTTGTAGAAAAACAAAATTTCGAAAATTTTAGTAATGTTTCAGAAACAACCGTTATTAATAATAGGTACCATTTTCCTTAATAAGGTACAAATAAAATATAAACTATTTCCACGAATTACAAAGGCCTACAAAAAAATTATAGGTATTTTCCGCTATCCTATAAAATTTATATTTTCTGACTCAATTTCAAAAGGTTGAAGGAATTCCAAAACACCTTTTATGGCATAATAATTATTTTCAATTCTACATACTATCTTTAGCTGCTTTTAAAAACGTTCTAAGAAAGTCCAATCAGACCAATTTAATCCCTAAACTATTCCACACTTTTAAAATTTAATTACCTAAAAATATTAAAAACTATTTAAAATAACTGTTTAGCAGACTGTACAATAGCTATCTTAGTCACACGTAGCGCGTTCTCTGTCTGGGCGTCGAACACCTCTAGAAATTTGATGAACTGTACGTTTTTATCGGGATGTCTTGGGTGTGGAGAACGTTGACGATATTTTTCAGCAGCAGCTGTACAGAAACCATAAACAAACACCATATTTGCATATTCTAAATTTGAATAAGTATCTAGCATTTTGCAACACTAACAATCACATAAATTCGAAATTAAACGTTCAGTTACTGTTCACTGTACACTGACAATTCATCAAAACGTCAGAATTATCAAATGCCTTTGAGCCTTGAACATATGGCATACTTTGATAATGTTAAAAGTGGAAAGCTAGATGAACATTTTTAATTACGCCATAACTTGAAAACAAATGAAAATCGGATAAGAACATTACATTATTTTCACGTGTATCATATACTCCTAGAGTTTGGTGCGCTCCTCCCGACTCACCCTGTATATGCGCATTATTTTGATTTATGAGTAGCGTTTTTGTTTTAAATCCTTCTTTATTACTTAAAGTGCAATTTTAGAACGCAAGACCGATGCAAGCGATAGCGACAGACGACATATGCATTTACGTTTACGTGTTGAAAGTGCTGCCGCTGTCTCTTGCATGGTCGCTTGATCCCAAAGGTGATTCATTTAATCACATGTGATTTAGACGTAAAGAGACCGTTTTCGGTCACCTTAGGCAGTCGCTTGCTTCTGTTTCGTGCCTCAGTCTCACGTTCCTGGTACATTTAAGGTCGATTCTCACTGTATTTCAGGTCACGCTCTGCTTACTCTCTACTAAATGCGTGATGCAATATTGTGATACGATATTTAAATGGAAATATTCATATTTGGCGTTTTTACTTTTGCTGACTTTTGAAAAGTGGGATGGCGTAAGTAGTACCAAAAGTCTCGTCCTCTTTGGTCCCTGCATATTATTTTTCTTTTAATTTCATTTCCAGGTCAGTCTTATTTCTTAGGGTCTAGTCCCTAATGCCCAAATTTCATTTGAATCGGATAAAAATAATGTCCTGTTTATGCGCATCTTAAAAACAAAATCAACTTCTGAATGGAGATTGACAAATAATTATGTCGGACATTTCGGTGTTAATCGTTTCTTATCCCCACTCCCTTCCAGCCTCAAAGAGCACCTTAAAAGTTAATTTAAGATAAAATTGTTGAAGTGGAGTATTTGGGACCAAATTATAAAGATTTTCAGAGCATCCATATTTTTCCTTCCCTCCACCCCTAATTTCCCCAGTAGTCCAATAAACATCCTGTAAATATACCATTAAAAAATATAGCTCGAATATAGAATTACGTGTTTGAACACGGAATTACTAATTTCCGTGTTTGAATACGGGATTCCCTGTACGAATAGGGAAATCTGTAATTACGTGTTCAAACACGGAAATTCCTTGTTCAAACACGGAATTCCGTATTCAAACACGGATTTCCGTATTCAAACACGGTTTTTCTTGTTCGTACACTGAATTCCGTGTTTGAATACGGAATTCCGTGTTTGAACAAGGAATTCCGTTTTTTAACAAGAAATTCCGTATTTGAACAAGAAATAACGTGTTCGAACACGGAATTTTAGAAATATTTTTTTTTTATAGGGGGCCCTTCTAGGCTGCCGTAGTAATTGAAAACGCTTCTATGTGGTATATTTTCTGTTTCAAAATAACTTCTGCACTGAATAACTTTAGTAAACGAAGTAAATTGACGAAATCAATAGTTAAAATTAGAAAACAATGCAAAGCGCACCTTCAGTCAATCGGATCAGATTTTTGTCGAAAATGTTTGACTGAATGTACGGTGCTTTTGTCAGACTCAGTCTTCCTATCCAATATCGAAAATGATGTTTGCAACGCGTGATATTTTATACAACCGATTTCGATATTCGATTCCATAATCGGTTTCCGATATTCGTTTCCGTAATAGGTTTCCGATATTCGTTTGTCCGATATTCGTTTTCGATATTCGTTTCCGATATTCGTTTCCGATATTCGTTTCCGATATTCGTTTCCGATATTCGTTTCCAAGAATCGTTTCCGATAATCGGATCCGATATGCGTTTACGATAGTCAGATCTAAAAGTTGGATGTTTGGTCAGTTTTAGTTTTTTTTACGATTTTTCTTTTTACAATAATTTTCATCATCACATGATTTTATTCGAAAACATTAGTTAAAAATAATACAGGTTCGTAGACGAGTCACTTAAATTTAAATCCAGCACGATAAGACATGGTTCATATAATAATTGTTTATGTACGATGACTAGATGTACCAAAAAAATATATAAAACACGAATCTTTTTCTTTAATTTCAGGCTTTAACGCAATTTCTTTTTGGCTGCAATATTCAAGTTACTGGCGATGTAATTCGTACTGGGGAGATGTCCCTTTTGTTAATGAATCATAGAACGAGAACAGACTGGAATTTCATTTGGCCAGTTGTTTATCATTGTGTCGAGGAAAAGGGCAAACTGGCCCATTCAACAAAATTCATACTTAAAGATCCGATAAAACATATTCCGGGACCAGGTAAATGTGAACTTTTTCGTTCAGTTATGTTTTTAGCTAAATTGACCATGATAGTTGTGACATAAAAAAAAACTTGGCAACATGCATTTGTTTCTTTATAACGAGTAGTTCTAAAGAAATACTAATGGGATTTTTTGATGCTCAAAAAAGATCTCGCAATATTTGTTCTAGTATACAAAACCTATTCTACCTAAATTGTACCATCATTAAAAATAGAGTAATGTTAATATGAATGTTCTGAAACCTTTATTAAGAGAAACAAAATAACACATCAAAAATTTTAATGATAAAGCCAAATAGTCCAAGAGGAATCAGCACATGAGTGTCTAAAACTGTTTGGACCCATTTTTTTTGTCAGGATCCATTGTTTAAAGTTTCCTGAAACCATTATTTTAAACGGGACAGAAATGGATTTTTGATAAACTTAATATTTTAGATGACATGAATTTTGAAATTTAAAAAACCACGATTATGACGAATTTTAACGGCTCATAAATATACAGTATGTCCCCCTAGGTTGGAATCATATGGAAAAATTTTTAATATTCATTTTAGGATAAAGAGTTATTCTTTATAAAAAGTTCTGCATTATCTAAAACCTAGAAAGCAGTCATCAAATATCAAATTTTTTTAGTGGTATACGAGGTTTTTCAAAAAATATGACTTTTACTCAAGAGTAAAGTACCTTTATTCTTTATACGACTGATAAAATTTGATATTTGATGGTTGTATTTTAGATTTTAGAGCATGCTCGACTTTTTATAAAGTACAACTTTTTTTTCCTAAAATTAGTTTCACACCTTTATTTTTATTTTTAGTTTCTTGGTAATGGATTCTTCCAAGTTTTTTTTTATATGGAGTATATGTTATTAAGCTTGCTTTGCATTTTCTTTTATTAGAATTCGAACCATAATTTGAGAGGTTGTCGGTACTGGACAAACTTCTTTTGGAGAAACCAGCAAAAATGTATCACTTTTATCTGACCTATTGATGTTGGCAGAACCTAATGATGTTGATGGAAGTACCATAGCTTTTTCGGACTCTGTAAGGCGATCCATAACTAAATCTGATGATATGTTTGAAATATGTTTGTCCTTACTTGAAATATCTGCTAGTATATCTTCATTTTCAATATCAATTCTTTCTTGTAAAGGCAGAATTTGTTCTTCGCCCAAAAAGTCGATGTCTCTAAAAACATTTCTGTTGCCTGTTTTTCTAAATGAATTAACCGATGCCTCCATTGTTGCAGCCCGATTATAAGTTTTTCCAAATAGTGAGCAAATGTTTCTGTGTGTCACAACTTTCCTGAATTGTTTTTGAGAAACTTCTCTATTTCTTGAGCGTAATACGTTTTTAGTAGTGCCATGAAACCCACATCCAATGTCTTTTGCATATCGTTCAATGGTTCCTAAAAAATTAAAAAAATTGGCAATAAAAGTTAAACCGATAAAATAGGTAAGCTTACTTTTCGGAACATTGAACGTTTTCGAGGCCATAAGGTACCCCATCTCCTTGTTTCTTACTGCCTTAACAGCCCTTATCATGGCATTTTTATCCCATTGCTTTCTTTTTTTATTGTCTCTAGGTATCTGTAACAAATGTTCATTAAATTATTAAGAAATAAGAAGTTCTCCTAATATGAGATACCTCATAATATTAGGAACTTCGTTGTATCTCATATTAGGAACCTTATGTAAAAATAATTTATATATATTTTTTTCAAAACTTAGTTTAGTTTTTACGCGTTTTATATATTTAAACAATAAAGCAACTTCCAAACAACAAAGTAAATAAGCAAAACTTTTCTATTTCCTCACCTTTTTAGCACAAAAATCACGTTAAGCTGAGTACTAATAAAATTATGGTATTAACCAGTGCATAAAACCACATGCACGATCCGCGTTCTAAGGGCAACTAAAAATAACTGATCTCTCATTTGACGTTCTGATGAATTAGTTTCAGCACTTGTCGCTAGATGGCCACTGTTACTTGAGGCGAAAATAGGGTATTTTATAATAGGCTGCTATCTCATATTAGGTCCCTTTCCTCTACTACTACTTTAAGTAAAACTAAAAGGTACGAAAATCCAATATTAAGAAGATTTTCATCCTTCTTATCTTATTTGCTAAGGGTTTGGACGATGTATGTTCCTCTCCTAGGTGTAGAATTCGTTTTCGTCTTCTTCAAAGTACATTCTTCAATGTTTGATCAACTGAAACTGTTTGTTCACGACCTGATATTCTTTCGAATAGAAAACAGAAAAATCCGATATACTTTGATCTTTATACTTCACAGTATCACAAAGTTTGTTATTTTGGTTAATCGTTGATACGAAAAATTGCCCGTGCGATATGTTTAATTTCTAAAAGATCCTAATCCTACTGCGCCAATTAAATGAGAGCACTTCAAAAGTGACTTATTAAAAAACGTAAATTTTATAAGAAACCTTTATTAAAGAAAGCTATTAATGATATGATGTTTTTTAGTTTTGATTTTTAGTTATCTTCTGTGTATAACGTTAACATTAATATTTAATTAGTCGGCGGGCTTGTTTCCATAACTCGCGATTACTTAAGAGCAAACATGACGGGCGCTCCTCCACCAAAAATCAATTTTACATTTGAGGCAGTTAAAAAAAATTGTAAAAAAAATGGTTCAGGCCAATCGTTGTAAAAATGAACCAAGGATTTCGCTAAACCGCGAAAAACTTATATTTTTTAAGAAAAACAACAAAAATTTCAACTTTTTAATAAATTTTATTTTTTGGCTCTTTACCGGCATTCTATAACAAATATCTTAACTATTTTCTAAATAACTTTTTTTCAAAAAGATTACCAATTTTAAACAGGACCGAAGATTAACATAGTTTTCATTCACATACTAATTCTATTAAAACAATGATACCAGTGAATATGGCAACGCTGCTAGTCTTTGAAGCCCGTGGTTAAAAGGGTAGCTGCCGTTTAGTTAAATTTGTTAATTCCTGTGTCGAAAAATAGGTAGTTGTTTTTGAAGAGGTGCGAAATTATTATGATCGTCTTAGTTTGTTGTTGAGGCGTTGTTAGGTTTTTGTTTAATTTAGTTTTTAGTTAATTTATGAAATGAAAAATTCTGAAAGGCAAAAATGCACAGCTGACAAATTTCTATTTTATTTGTTTGCTGCCAGAGTTAGTAAATCCTAGAAAAATACGACATGTGCCAATTAGGGAAAAGAGATTGTCAAGAATTTTGCACGCTTAAAAAAAATGTGTAATATACAGGGTGTTTCTAAATACATGCGACAAAATTCAGGAACTGAGTGCTCGTATGAAATTAAGATGGGTCTTTTCTATAACAAAATTTCCTCAGCCCATCCCTTTTCGAGATATCACCCTTAAAAAATGGTGACTAAAATTGAGTTTTTATTTTTTCTAAAATTTCAGTAAAGCTAGAAACTTGAAATTCTGTAATCGCAAAGGACTAACCACGGGTATTTTTACAATATTTCTGTTACATTATAGGGGGGTGAAATTAGCAACACTTACTTTATTTCATATCAAAACTTTTTTCGAGATGAACTCTTATGCAATCCTTGATTTATTTAATTTTTTTTTATTCTTGAATTTTTTCCCCAACTGTGAAGTCGGTTAAAAATAGGAGTAAAAGTTTATATAAACATAGGTCCGAAAACGTTTCGTTTTCGAGATACAGGGTGTTACAAGTGAAGTCCAGATGAAATATTTTCTAAAATTTCTGTAGTTACCGGTTTTTCAAAGTTAAAAAAAAAATAAAATTTCTAATTCTACAGACCTACTAATTATTGTTTACACTTTCGAATAAGGTAACATGCTTTTCTCTTGAAAATGGCGCGTCTAGCGAGATGCAACAAATGTAGCTTTATTATACAGAAAATATTGGTTTTCCAAATTTTATAGTCAAAAAATCTGATGTGTCCAACACATGACTTTCCTATCTAGTTATTATAGGCTTTTTCTGGTTATTTTGTACAACTTATTGCAGTACCTCTATAAATGTTTATAGGATAAACTAAATATATACATTTTCCACATACATCTATCTACCTCGAAACATTTTTCTATAGTTATTCATTGAAAACGAAAATACTGAAAAATTTTGACATTAAGCAAAAATTATAAATAATAATATTAGAAGTAACTTTTATTTGAATAATTTTCTTCTCCAAACATAAATTACAGATATATTCAATAAAATATAAAAACGGCCTCCCATAAAGTACCCCCCCAGATGTTCCGAGTTTGTCCAAAATCTAACTATTTCACGTCAGGTCGAAATAAAACTTAAGTTTAAAATTTAGTGTTTTTCTGTGTATCGGTTCGTGAGTTATGGTAGATTTAGACACACAGACACACACGGCAATTTTACCCTAAGCTCCCCCTAATTTACCCACCTAAGAAGATGATCAATAACTGGAGTTTAGTCCAATAAATGGAGCGTAAAAAGGTAAGTATTTGTAACAAATTTTACCCAATTATCTTTAAACGTTTAGAAAATATTTACAAAAGTGGGGTATCAGGACTTCACCTTTAACACCCTGTATCTCGGAAAAGAAAAGTTTTCGGACCTGTTTATATAAACTTTTACTACTATTTTAGGATGTAGATTACGCTGTTAAAATATGACCGTCTAATTTCGGGACACCCTGTATATTATCTATAACTATCAATAAATAAAAAATATTTGAGATGTTTGGTTCAAAAATAGTATTCCTACATTCGTATATTAACAAGCCACTAACCCCCAGTAGGCGGCGATAGCCAACGAATTATACCTGAATTGTATTCGGACCCTTCAGGGTACGACACACAACATTGCCAAATTTATGTAGCGAACAAGGTTCCAAATACTTTAAAGGGAGGTCATGAGATTCGTGCGGTGTGACGTCAGAAGGGACTGGATTACTCTTAACGCTACTAGCCAATGCGTGCATTAACTACTTAATTAAAATGTCCTTAATGCTGAAAATTTTTATATTTTCCACTAACGAGTTTGTTAAATAAATTATAAAGAATATATATCACTTATTTTTATAAATTTATAAGCCGTTAAAATTCCTTAAAATTCGTCAATATCGTGATATTTAAATTTTAGAAATTCCTATCGTCTAAAACGCGGTCTAAAATATTAAGATATGAAAAAATGTGTGCCTTTTGAAAATAACATTATTTAGGAATTGTTTAAACAATTTTCTTGCAAACAAAATGGGACCACATGGCAAACTACATTTATATAATATTTGGTATATTTTTAAAGAATTCTGACAAAAAAATGCATCTTAATAGTTTTCAACACTCCGATTCATCCTAAAATTTCTCACAACAAATTGTAAGCTAATAAAATAAGGCAAATTTGATAAAATCCGTCTATACAAAACGGAAACCTAAGCACATTTTAAGTTTTGATGACTATATAACAGCGTTATCACAGTTTATAGCTTAAAAGAATCAGTTCGCTCGCTCGGACTAATTGGATGTTCCAAAATAACATCCACTCCAGGGATACAAATTTAGGATGCGCAGAAGACTGCTGTTTGAATATAAGCAGTTGTCATATATTGTATTAGGCATTCCAAACAAATGAACTGCCAGTGGGAAGATTTGATATATCCAAGGGTTGCGACATACGATGTATTCTGTTTACAATATGTAAAATCATGAATAATGGATTACATTTAAATATTTTATGTCAAACACAATAAAAATAAGATACATTTTTTCATAAATTGGCAGGCTTTGTGACTATTAGGCATTCCAACGACCTGTCCAAATGGCTACCAGTGGGTAATGACAGTTTAGATATGGCAACCCTGTTGTCATGTTGTCATTAACAGGGTCAATGATACATATATAGTTATATAGATTGCTCAAAGCTGGTCGTTTACGAGCGGCCATATTGCCTGGCAAATATTTATTAATTTGAATCGGTTGAGCAAAAATGTGTTTTAAAACCAATTTTTAGCCTTTAGATAAAAAAAAAATAATTGCTTACATTTTTACTTCAAGGCATAAGCTTATGTTTATTTTGAAAAATATGGATGATCAATCTATGTAACTATCTATTTCATTGACCTTGTCAAATCACCAGGCCTACAGGGTTGCCATAATTTTGCCATATCATAACCCGTCAGAACCCACTGGTAGCCATTCAGTTTGGAATGCCTAATTATTTCGAATAAAAAAAACGTTTAAGATGCAAGACTATTTCTCTACCCCCTTAGATATACCAGACCTTCTCACTGACAGCTATTGTTTGACAGGTCGTTGGAATGCTTAATTGGTAATAGTAAGAGAGCCCACTGCAAATTACGACCGCTATCTGATAACAAAATGAAATATGCTCCAAAGACATGTAACATCATTGTACTTTACCAAATTGCACCTGTGCCAATCTATAATCCACAGCAAAGTGGTTAAAAAAATTATTTTATATTCAAAAAATTACATAAGACATGACAGCGATAATTGTGTTTTCTCTAAAAATTACAATCCTAATTCATTGTGAATTATTAATATGTTTACCTAACTTTGGCAGAGATAGTCAATAATAATTATAAACTCTTGTTAGACAATTCTTTTAAACCATAATCATAGTAGTTTTTTTGTCGTTTCTATGACAACCTTTAAAAATGAATCACAACAATAGGCATACAAATAAATTTTTAAATCAGCAAAAATTGATTCATATTTTTAATGATTTTTACCTACTAATCGTGTGTAGATGTTTTTGTGCGATGTTAAGAGGAAGAAAATGTTTCCCGTTAACGATATATATCAAGATATATTTGAATAAGTTATTATCTGGACAACTTTAAGGGCAAACAAAATTAGCGCTGTCATGCCTTATGTAATTTTTTTAATATAAAATATTTTTTTTAAACATTTTGCTCAGTATTGGGATTGTCACAGCTGCCATTCGGTAAAGTACAATGTTTTTTACAAGCTTTTGGGGTATATTTTATTTCATTATCAGATGGCGGTAAAAATTTACAGTAGACCCTTGGGCTATTATGATTTGTATGCGCCAGGGATACAAATTCGAGTTGCGCAATGTATAAACTGGAACATTGAGATCAAAAGTGCCGACGCAAAGTGAGCGAACTGATTCTTTTAAGCTATAAACTGTGGCGTTATTAATATCCTAGTTGTCATGATTACCTACTTTGATCTGTTTAGTAAAAAGAAACGTCACATTATCACGATCCATTTATATCAGATTAAAATCTAGTGCAAGACTGTGGAATGAAAATTTTATTGTCACCTTTTGGTCACAAATAATTTTTTCTTGTTTTTACAATATCGGTACTACAAAAGAACCAGCCGCACGGTTCCCTGGAAGTTGGTCCAAGATCGGACTTAATTGAATGTTACGATTTAGTGATTTTATTTTAAAATATCTCAAGCGAAAAGGAATTGCTATTAGTTCCTTACATAGAATAGTACAAATCATAGCAGGATGTTATGTAGATTAATGTTTGTACAACATTTTTTCGAGTTGTTTGTATCTTCTTATTGTAAAAAATTCAAATGAGCATGGGACGTATTAGTCTATATTTACCTTTTAAAATGATTAAAACAGGCAAGGTTACATCCCTAAAAAAAAGGAACAATATCACATTCCTTTACAAAATAACCTGTGCCCATCCTGTGCCTATAAATACGTGGTTACCTTTAATATTATAAAATTAGAAGTGTCATTCAGATTTATAATACAAGAATAAACAGGAAACACTCTATAGGTATTTTAAATTTTTTTAACATGGAGAATGCAATTTGATAAAAATTCTTGAGATATACCTACAACAACTTCTAAATATTTAAAACGCTTTTAGTTAATGCAGGAGTAAAATTTTTCTTTCTGATCTGTCTTTTGTTAATGCTACAAATTATTCTAACTCCGTTAAATGTACAATAATATGGTGGTAAATATTTAACGGTATAATTGAATGCAGTAGCCATTTCATGCACAACATAGCTTGGTTTGAAATTTAAGCCTTTCAATATGGCAAAAGCAAGTCTTTTTTAAAGCAGCTTTTGAAATTTCACAAGTTTGTCTAATCAAGCGTATTCTTGTTACTGAATTTTTAATCTGAATTATTAATTTTTTTTAATTGATAAGTAATTATTCCTCTTAGGATGGGTTATGCAATTGGCATGTTTTGTCTACATAAAAAGATGTTGGCAATTAGATAAGTTGATTTTTGACAAGTACGTCAACTATGTATCAAGGATTAGATACAATCATAGTCTTCTAATATTTCCGGAAGGAACTGATTTAACAGAACAAACTAAGAAAAGCAGTGACCGATATGCAGAGAAAAATAATTTACCTGTAAGTATAAATCGTTATATCTAGGTTATACTTCTTCTTTTTCTTCTTTCCGCGATTTAGAATTGTCGTTAAACTATTAAAATAGACCGATTTGACATAATTTTTGTTGTTACACCGTTACGCAATCCTACTGACTGCGCCAATTGTAGTTTCTCTAATCAAAATCGGTTTTTTAACTTTATCTTTTACTTCTTCATGCTCATATACTCTCAATGTTTTAATATTAGTTTCGATTCCACATTTAGGTTTTTATTATTGACTTTATATTCACTATTTTAGCTCTACGATTACGTTCTACATCCAAAAACAACAGGATTTGCATATTTGGCTCATCAGTTGTTAGCTGAGAACAGTTTAGATGCAGTATACGACTGCACTTTGGCTTATCCAGATGTCATTCCCAAAAATGAAAAGTTTTTATTAGAAGGTAATTTCCCGAAAGAAGTGAAAGTTCACTTAGTAAGGTACAGTATATGCTTTTCTACAATATTTATTCATGTCAAAATTTATGTACGTTTTAAAAATTATGTTTTCTGATTTTCTTTAAAGCTTTCTTTGTAACAATTCATCAAAATATCGTCTATAGTAGCAAAGAAGAGTCTAAAACTAGTTGCCAAGGATCGCTCGACTATGCTATTAAGGGAAAATTTTTGTTCTTTTAATTAAATTTTTTTATTATTTTATTTGTCACTGGTGAATGGATATTCCTTTTGTACTCCAGGATCCTTTGGCTGGTGACAGTGATGCCTTAATCCCTTAATAGTATATTAACAACAGTAGCTAAAGACATGTCAGTAGTAACAAATGGTCCTAAGGCTTAGTGACAAGCGGTGGTTCTTTAGACTTACTGGTTATTGCATTTGAGAAAATCGAAAAAAGTCATAAAAAAAGCAACTAGAATTCTTATAGTCGTTAAACCACTACAAATTATTTTAAAAAATGTAAAAAACTAATGTAGTTAATGAGTAACCAAAAACCTAGAAATTTTTAATACAAGCATGATGAATAAATAACACTAAAATTATTGTCAGCTTTGATGAAGCATATATAAAATAATTGGCTCTAATAAATGGAACTGACTTCAAATGGAACACATACGAGAATAAAGCTACCAGATTCATTAAAGTAATGGTAGAAACTTGCACACGTCAACTTCTGCAAAAGATATTGCCGAAGATTTAAAGAAAATTCAACTGAAGATTAAGGAAGTAATTCAGAAACTCAAGAGAACCACAGTCAATAAAAAAATTAAATATATTAGTCTGCCAGTAATTAATCATACCGAGGATATCAATAAAATTTTTAATATTCAGTATCTTAACTATGTGAAGGTTAAAATAGAGGCAAAAAATAATAAATCCATACCATGTAAAAGATACCGGAGAAATGGACACACACAGACCATTGGACCGTGTTAAGTTTGCTGGTTGTCACAAGACAACTGAATTTGTAAAGCCTATGAATACTCCTGCAAAATATATCAATTGCTTAGAAGCTCATGCTGCAATTTTCAGAGGATGTACTATTACTAAAGAGCTACAGAAAAGAAGAGGTGTTGTCTCCAATGCCAAGAAACCTACTAACCAATAAAAAGCGATTGATCCAATCCCAGTTATATTTGGGGGTCTCTTTTTCACAAATAGCCCAAAATGTACCAGTAGACCCCTCATCTGCTTCATTATTGACAGATTTAGCTACTTTACAACTTATTCAGAGTATCATAAAAACTCTTGAACGAGTCAAACGAGTCAAACTCGACAAATTAGAAGCCATTAGTACTGAAGATGTACCCAAGAAGTAAATTTTATAACTTTTGAACATCTAATAATGGCTTTCTCACCAAAAAAATATGACACCCAGCATATAGATATGTCTGAGACATAATGTAAAAGATCAGTTTTATATTAAGAAAAGAGGTTATAAAATATACAATATACTATTCATCCAGACGATCAAGCTAAAAGTGGTAGTGCCATTATAATTAAGAAATCAATCAATCTTTTAAAGAATATTACAACGAATGGATATTCAACTTACAGTGATGACATTAAGTCTTCAAAACTGAAATTTATCATTGGTGCATTTTACTGTCCATCCATGCAAAATGTTAAGAAAGAAGTTTATTCAACCCTTCTGCAATATCCTTGAGAGGGGTTTAGCGTCGGGGGAAACCTTAACGCAAAACATATTGTCTGGGGATCCATATTAACTACGACCAAAGTTAGTGAATTAGGAAGAGCTATCCATCAAAAGAATTGCAATTATCATGCTACAGGTTAACCTACTTACTAGCCCACGGATCCCAACATAATCGCTGACTTGTAAGATTTCTATATTTTAATTTTGATTGACACTCTGATCATTCATCTGTAATTGAAACGGATATTAAAAGAGCAACCAGACTTAATCTTACCAACAAAACTATTAACTCAGGTTCAGAATTAAACTTTGTTTGAAAACAATTGAACAACTTGATGAAGAATTGTACAAATAGCTGCTAACAATAACACTAGTTGAGATCAGAGAACTTGTTAGAGAAAAAATTAAAAAAGGAAGGCACCAATCTAGAGATCTATCTGATAAAGCTATTTTAAACAATAAAAATCGAAAGCTAAGAAGGGAAATTACAAAGCTGGAGGAAGAATCAAAAAACTCGTATTTTCAAACCTCTCGCTGGATGAAGAGACAGATTACTCTCTGTGGAAAGCCATTAGAAAGATTAGAAGACCTATTAGCTTCATCCCTCCCATCAGAAGATATAACGGGATAAAATGGACTAGGGACAATAAACAGAAAGTAGACTTGTTTGCTGAGCATTTAGCAGACATTTTTAAACTAAATCAGATGCAGGAAGAAAATAATATGCCTATAATAGATAATCAAAGATCCGAAAATATCACTCTTGTTACACCAAAAGAAGTATCAGAAGATATTAAAACCTTAATTCAAAGAAAGCATCATGTTTCGATTTAATTACTGATGAAATCTTGAAGCAATTGCCTAGAAAGGTTATTGTGATACTGACATACTTCTTTGATGTAGCTTATTCTCTAAAACATGTTCCTGTATGCTGGAAAGCTCCAGAGGTAATAATTTTTCCAATACCAGGAAAATCTCCGAAGGACATTAGTCTTATAGTCTTATATCTTTTTTACCAACTGTGTTAAACATATTTGAAAAATTGCTGCTAAAGACCTTTGATAGAAGATACAAATTTAATACCTTCCAGTTTGAGTTTCGACAGAAACATTTTATTGACCAAGAGCATAGAATTACAGATGCCCTTGAAGACGATGTCCATATCTTTGACAAGGTGGGACATAAAGGTTTGGTTCAAAAAATTATAAAGCTCCTAAAGCAAGATGTAGAGATTATAATATTATATATCTCGGACAGGCTTTTTAAAATCAAGCAGAAAGAAGAAAATAAATAAGAGCTTGAGTGCCTCAAGGATATGTTCTTGGGCTCATCTTATCCGTACTCTATACTAGTGAATTGCCAACTCTAGAAGATATAACTTAACTACATTCGAAATGATACTGCTTCTCTTTGAAGTTGATCAGGACCAAGAAACATCAGTAAGAAAACCCAAAACTGCTAGCAATTTTCTAGTTAGATGGATCAATTAATGAAAAACTAGGCTTGAAATTGATGAACTGAAATCTATTAATAAAAAATAGAATAATCTCTTTCTCTAAATATTAATGGACTGTACCTCATAAATTACATGCAAAGTACCTTGGCATGATCCTCGATGAACGATGAAAAGTACATGTTAAAAAAATTGATTTAGGATTAAAATATAAACAGGACTACCTGGCTCTTGGGCAGAAACTTAAAACTGTCACTACATAATAAAATATTAATCTACAGGTTATAAGATAGGCAATCAATTATGAAAATGTGCCAGAGATAGCAACTTCAATCAATCCAAATCTTTCAGAACAAAGTATTGCGCAACATAGTGAATGCTTCTTGGCAGATCTTCATCGAGACCTTGGAATTTTAACAGTGAACGAGCAAATCAAAAGATTTTCTGGCAAGCATGAAGCCAGACTTCACCTATATAGCATGCATGAGATCTTCAGCTGCTGAACAATTAGGACCAGGTCCGACGATTAAAGAAAACCAAGCCATTTGATCTCCTATAGTATATTGTGTGTATGTAAAAGCAGAGCACAGTGCGCGGGTGACTTATATAAATAATAAGAACAATCTAAACAATCGATGGATTGACTTAAGTTTATTAGTACTTAGTTTAAGATTGTTTTAGAAAAATAGGATTGGTTAGTCAACGAGACTAGTTTTAATAATAGGTACCATAAGGTATCAAATTAAAAAAAATTCTCACCAAAACCAATACTCTCTTTAACGTTAATCCATAAAAATCAAACTACTTTGCTTAATTTCAGATACCCTAAATCGATTTTGCCAACGTCCGAAGAAGATTTGAAAGAATTCCTAGAAAAACGATGGCTCGATAAAGAGAAGACACTCAAAGAATTTAAAGCTACCGGTAACTTTTTACACGGAAAAATTTTAAAATGCGACAAAATATGGGAACTCCACATAGCTTTTATATTTTGGACAATTTTACCATTTATCAGCATCTATTTTTTCTTCACGGTGGCCTGGTTCAGAAACATCGCTTTGGTACACACACTTTTTTTGTTGACCCTCAACTTCTTCTTTGAAGGGTTTCAGAATTTCGAAATCAATTTACAAAACTTTAAGGACAACGTATCGGTGAAAGTTCGAAATGTTATTCCTAATAACCAATAACATCATGTTTTAAAAGGTAAAATGGGATAAAATTGTAATGGAGATGTAAAGCGTAGCTCAAAAGAGTATGATACAGTTATACTTTATCTCAAACATTTGCATCCCTACATGATTCCTAACTCTAAATTGAAAAAAGTCGTTTTGGACAAACTGTCTGTGTGATTTTATAGAGCTCGGTGCATAATTATACGGAAATAAAAAGGGAAACTTTGATCCAAAATGTACTCAGACATGCGCACGATGTTTAATGTGAAGTTGAATTTGAGTAAACGTGACAAACTCGAAGGGTGCACCTGTTTAAAAAATATATTGTTAAAGTAAAATAAATAAATTGTAAAATTTTTAATTTTTTGTTAATTTTGAATGGGTAATATTTTTCAATATTAATTCCAGAAGAATATTGCGTGCCAAATAGGCACTAAATATAAAGAATAAGTGAATAAATGATTTACCATTATACTAAGAAATAAACTTATCCAAAGAAAATAGTGAAACAAGATCTGCTATATAAACAACAAAAAACCAATGAAGGAAGGAGACAAATGCTTTTAACGAGAGGAAAATATATATAGATATATCGATATCCCAGTCTATCAGTATTTGATAGATGTTGACAGCACTGAAGCATTAATAAGATTAAGAACATTCTATCGACATACAGATTTTAAAAATTTAATACCAACCGCTATTCTGTATAATTGTTGATATTTAAAAAAAAAAGAAAAACTTTTAATAGTGAATTTAGATTTAAGTCTCATTGGCGGTAAAAGCTGGTGATCGCTCCTAAACTATACAATTAACACCATCTCAGTGTTTTGGTGAATTTTGTGGAGAACTATAGTTTAAACGCTACGCTTTTTTCACTGGATCATAGATCAAAGATCAAAGTACAAAAGAAAAGTGAATTTCACTTTCACCCGAAACAATTAGTTCTGCCTGTTAAGGTGAGACCACACTAAGCGAACATTGTTGGGAAACTGTTGGCTAGCTCTTCGTAAGCTTGTTGAAAAAAAATGTTGGCAAAGTCTTCAAAGTTACTTGGTGTTTCTTCAGGAGGTCACACAGTCTCGTATATATTGGGATGGCATTACTTTCCACAAAGTTCCTAGAGCGTTTGATAGATATAATAGTACAGGTGTCAATTCTGGATTATAACTATGTGGTTTCGTCCTAGAATGCTGGAATTAAATATACATTTCTACAGTATACGCGTACACACTGTGGTGGCCCTGATTACAATAAGTAACCCATCTAGCTATTTCCCTAGGATTTTCAGCGAGTGTAACCTGCGTGGCAGGTTTAGTTCAAAGAATACTATTTCAGAATAAAGTGGAAAATATGTTTTAGAAAAACCACGAAAACATTAATTATGATTCGGAACAATGATGGTTCTCAAGATACACATTAAAATTGTAAAGTTGTTAGAATTCTATCTAATGAAGAGGAGGGCAGATTTCAGTAAATCCTGCAGAGCTTCGAGAAAGGTAAGGTCTATAGATTGGACGTCTGTGAGAAGTAGAAGGTTTGGGCGTTGGGCATAGGTACTGGAACCATTCAGAGGTCTAGAAACGTATTGTTTTCTGCTGACTTAGAAACGAAAGGAGATCGAAAGATTATTTTTGTTTTATTAGACTTGTCTACTAGGAAAACGAATGGATAGATATTGGCATTGTCAGAGGAGTTGATTAGTTTAAGATCTAGATGAGAAAAAAGTATGCTTTGTTATGAACAACGGAGCAGATGTAAGAATTATAGATATGGTTAGGGATTTGCATTGGCCAAAATGACCACATAGATTTCCGAGGAGCCCGGCTCGCTAACGCATCTTGTCAAGGGTACATGGGAGATCGAAGGACCAATTGAGAATGTGAGAATCTCACCCCCAGGTAGTCTAAAATTGTATGTGGTACAAGATTTTGAATGTTTCGTATTATTACTACTTCGGCCATAATTGAGGAGATGGATAACCTTTTATATTTAAGGTTTACGTTCGGATCTCGTGAGTGACGATATTTAAAAATGATAAATTGTAGGTCTGAACAAGTATGTATAGGTACTGGTTGAGCAGATTTGAGTTCAGATACTTTGTTGGTCAGAATTTCGGGCAACTAAAAGCAGAGTAGTATCATCGACGTATAAAAGACATTGTGGCTGTGGGTGGTTTGGGGGAGGAACGTTTGCTTAGTCTGGTCGAACCTTTATATTACCTTTAGAAGAACGAATTTTGCTCAATGATAACATTTTAATCGAAATTCATCGTTATGATGATCATGAATAAATATTATCTATTAATTTTTTCGTTAAGAGATAATGAACATTTTTAGACAGGTAGAATATTGTGGATAGTATACGAGATGTAACATATAAGAAATATGTAGAATATTTACAACATTTAAAGACATAAATATGTTATGTATGTAAAAAATAAAACATTGTTCTATTTATAAAATCGAAATAACAAAAACAAACATATTCGTAATATAAAATTAATATTTAATAGTCTAAACAATTTTTAAGATAGTACTGTTAATATGAATTTTATTAATATTTTATACTCTATTGACATTACTTAAAATATCAGCTATGGCTAAATAGTACACTAGCCACAGCTATAGAATGGGATTATTATATTGTTTGAACAAATATGTGATTTCCTAGTATCCAGATTTGCAAACTACAGGGTAAACTTAAAAATTCAATGAAGGTATTGTAAACGAAAAAATAACCGATTATTTAAGATTAGTGTGGGCAATAATTTCCATAATGTGACGTTTTTGGTGTGGTGCTTTGTATTAGTAAAAATATATCCAAAAGAATAATAAGCTCCTCACTGAATACCAAACATATAGAAAAATAAATATTGAAAAGATTAATATGTCGAACATATATATGCTCCAAAAACTAAAAATTGTACATAATATATTGCTTATTTTGCTCTTTAATTTGCAAGCTTGGTTATTGTTTTGTCCTATGTGGTTGCATGTAGGATCAAAAACAAGTAACTAGAGGTGGAGATATTTATTGTACGTAGATATTATTAAACAATTTTTTCTGAAGATCTATTTGTATGATACTAAGTACTATTATAATAACCATACTAATTGTGGACAAATTCAAAATGAGGTTCTCATACCACATTTATTTTATCTCATCTAAAGTCGGTGTTAAATTAAAGACACTTCTGTCATCACTCGAAATATAAAGGATTATTTACTCTAAGATGCCACTAAAAGGTGGTTTTAAGATGTATGTAAAATAATAATTAAAATCTTTTTATTAAACCGAAAATTTTGCCTAATATGCAAAATAAAACACCAGATTCGATGTTTTTAAAATATCAAAGATATTCAAATAAACGGCTGTAACAAAATGCATTAAAAACATGACTCATTGTAAAGTTAATAACTTTTGTAATTATTTTTGAATTAGGACCATCCAGTAATTGGATAAGATTTGCGTGACCAATCTCCTTATCACATCTAACAATGATGACGTGAAAATCGAGATCAAATCTGCCAATGTTGGTGTTTCTAAAGTATAAATATATCCTAACGGAATGCTCAAAAATAACATGCTAATAAACGAAAACTAATGCTAGAATAGTGATACTAGAAAAAAATTGACCAGTTCTAAGGCATTTATAAAAGTCAAAATAGTGGGAATTAATCTAAAAATGTAAAAAAATAATAATCCCGATGGATTTAATCGATTCTAAATTTCTCAGGGTTTGAAAACTTGTTTTTCAAATCCAATATACTATATAGAATATAAAAACCACTAAAATTTGAAAAATCTGTGAATGAAATATTCGCAGGAATAAAGATTTATGCAAGAAGTATAAAATGGTCAAAATTGAAGGAGATTTTTATATGTAAATAACCACATGTGAATACTAAGTATTGAAGAAAACTTTATTCTGTGATAGAAGATTCGAAATTTCAGATTTATAGGAATAATGACATTTTCTGAAATAATTTACTAAGGTAGGGAATTGTGAGAAATTTACAGGATTTACAGATTTAAAGGAATTAAAGAAATTGAAAGGAATAGCCGCGGAATTGTGATAATTGACAGGGGATTGCTGGGAATTACGGGAATTGCTAAGGAATTGGAGAAGAATTGCCGGGAATTATCAAATAATTGCTGGGAAATTGCTGAAGAATTGCAAAGCAAATGCTGAGGGATTGAGGACAATTTTAAAGGAATGCGAGAATCGGAAAATATAAAGGAATTAGGTGAACAACTTACCTAATAATTAAAAAGATTCTGCTGATCTCTATGACCAAAATTAAATAAATGAATGTCGGAAATAACCTTTTAGAAACCTCATCTAAATGTTAAGCAGTATTTAAGAATATAATGTTTCCAAGCAAATGTAAGCTAGAATAAAAGACGTAAAGTTAATTAATAGGACCAGGCACCTTTCTAATGACAAAATGGCTTTCTGTCAAATGTCCATTGGTCCAAGTCAATAAACTGGAGTTGGGTAGAAAGCCAATGTGCATATTATTGTATCAATAGAACAAGATGCGACTCTATGGGTGCAGCCATTTTTATTGCCCATCTCACTCGGGACTATTTATAATAACCATTTTCTGTTTCACATTGTTATTGTTCAATCCACAAGCTGTTGGATCAGACAATAACAATGTGAAATAGAAAATGGTTATTATAAATACTCCCGAGTGAGATGAAAAATAACCTGTCTGCGCCCATAGAGTCGCATTTCAAGTTCATTGATCCAAGCCGATTCTACCTATGACTAGTTTTCGATGTATAGGGTGTTAAACATCGGAAATGCCACTTTTACTCGCGTTTATTGTAGAAAATATGAATTACAGTTTATTTAACACTAATATTTTCTAAAAAGGTTCTGTAGAAATTGGTTAATTACAGGGTGGTTCGCAAATATGAAATACGGTTTTCGAAAATACCATTGTTTTATGATAGTGTCAAAAATATAAACAATTGTAATTGTACAATAAAAATATACTTAAAATAATTGCTTCTTGATGATGCACCATATTTTATACAGGGTGAATTATAAATATGGTTACAGGGGGCATAAACGATGTATCCTGATTTTTTAATATTATATTAAATAAATGTAAGACCTGTCACTATAACTAATACGGGGTATTAAACCAATTGCAAAAACATTAAAAATTAGATATGCAGTTTTTTGTGCAACACCCTGTATTTTAAAAGTATTTCCGTCAAATTTATAAATAATAACATTTTTACATTAACAAAAGTTCAGTATATAACTGAGCAAAATTTTGTTTTAATCCTATGATCAATTTTTCTAATTTGTGTATCCAAAGTTATTATAGTTAAACGATGTTTTTAATAGATAGATAATAGATATATATTTAGTCGGGTCTGTAGTGTAGCGGTCTAACGCGCTTATATTCATTTATAGGCAAGTTTATGAGTCTGAGACTGCTGAGCTTCGAATCCCAGACCAGACCATGTGGATTTTCAATTAAATTGCATGGTTCGGTTTAGGATTTGATATGTGCCGTATTAATAGAAATTCAATTTCTGTTGATATGACATGCAAATTAAAAAATCGCCATGCATTACCGTCTCGATGATGGTGGGTAAGGTTTTCCGGGTTTTCCTCACCTGTAAGTCAAATGGCACCATCAATCATCGTTAAGTCGCCCCGGAGCGCCAAGGCCAATAATAATAGTCGTCCCTTCCCCTACACAAGTCGTTTAGTCGACTTCAGGGGTTGAAATTCACTCGTAAGGGGGTGAATTAGGGAGAGTATTATTATTATTATATTATTATTTGACTATTTTACCTTTGAATTACAATGTTCATAGCAAGTCAAAGAAAGTATATAAAAAATACACTATAAAAAAATATACAAACTATAGGAATTAACATATTAAAAAATATAAATATTAAAAAATACAAAAACAGCACATATGTGAAAAACAGGTTATAAAATAAATTATAGGCTCCAATGGGGGAGGGGGGCTTAGATGAAAATTCTTACGATTTATGAGCCTTTTATTAAAAAAATATGCTAAAAAGAGAATGACTAAAGACAATGAACCGCCCCCCTCCCCCCAAAAATTCGTCTTGGAGCCGCCCCTGTTAATTACTGGATGAGATCTGTGAGTTATCCTATCTTTAATACCGAAAGTGTTCTAAATACTCACTAACAGAGTAGAAACAATGGGTGCTATGATTGAACGTTTACGTTATCCGTAACGTACATGTTAGGCCGAGTTTTAACAGTAAAGAGACACATTCGTATGATGTAAAGTCTTTCATAACACATTATTGTTATTTTCCGCCTGTTATGTTCTAATTTAACAGGTTTCCATCATACGAACTTGCCTCGTTACTTTTAAAATTCGGCCTAACATATACGTTACGGATAACATAAACGTTCAATCATAGGACCCAATAACTAATAGTAACTTTTTAAAGCTTTTTTGAATTTATTTATACTAAGGGATTTTATTTCAGGTGGTAGTTTATTATAAAAATTATAATCCAGCGAATTTTTCTGGGATTTAGTTAACCGAAAACGGCTAGTTCTGATGTTGTTTGCTTGTCGAGTAAAATGTTGATATCTGATTGTTTGGTTAAGGTATTAATGGTCATAACTTCTAAAGGGTCATATCTATGTGTAGACAGACGACAGACCTAGCAATATTAAATCTACAAGCCTACTTGGTCTGTATCCAAGCGAAAACAGTCGGCGATGGTTTATACATAAAAGTCAACAAAAAAGTTTGAAAAAGAGGATTAATAATAATTTGACTTACCAAGACATATCCAATACGTATAAGCTGATTGTGATATCATTAAAAGTATTAATGGTTACTGTATCTAATATAAAGTTAATACATAGTTATACAGTGACCATTAATACTTTTTATGATAACATATGTAACTTATCCTATGTCATGGTAAGTAAATTATTATTAACCCTCTTATTTAACCTTTAACTGTTTTTTTTTTGTTAAATTTTCATTTTTTGTATTAAATATTTTCACTTTTCAATACATTGACTTCTTGATAATCAATTTATATCGTCCTGAAGATAAAATAACTTACTTCGAAACCGTTCACTAACTAAATTAACATTATGAGACATAAAGGACTCTTGTTTTCTTGATTCCTTCGTAATTAATCCCATACATCTTATCTGCAAAAAACTGACAAGCATTAAAATGTTCTTGAAATTGGTGTCGCGAAATCGATGCTAGATCTTAAGATATTTATCTAAGAAGCTATTAACTTTTCAAAGTTAGGAGTTTTTGTTGTGCATTAGCACTTACAAAAAAATGCAAATCCCTTACCAAATAGGGTTTATTAAAATGTCGCAATCATCTCATGTATAAAACCATCGCTGAGTGTTTTCGCTTGGATACAGACAAAGTAGCCCGTAGATTTGATATATACAGTGTGGAAAAGCCAAATGGAATAAATTCATTATTTCGATTACTGTACATATTTATAGAAAATCCCAAAACACGTCAAATTTAAATTATAAATTGACATTCTTTAAAGTGAAAATGTGATCCCTACCTTCAACCTCCTTTGAGTAACAGTTACAACCCCTAATTTTTTAAATGGGAAGTATAGGCTTGTGATATATCGTTTGAAAGGTCTCTTCATTCTCTATCCAAAAATGTTGTTTTTAAATTTATTGCAAAAATTACCATAAAAAAAATAAAATAACTGATAAACCGAAATTTGTTACAATACACTCAATATGTAATATTTAATTGTTCATAACGTAAAAAATATGAATGTCATTGAAGCAGATGTTCAAAATGCTCACCGCGAACGTCTTGACAACATCCTAATCTTGAATAAAAATGTCTTCTAACGTTAATTAACATATCAGGCGTGACCGATCTAATCTCAAGCATTATTCGTTCTTTTAAGTCATCCAAATCACGTGGTTTAGTTTTGTAAACAATATTTTTCACATAGCCCCATAAAAAAAGTCTAATGGGGTAAGATCAGGTGATCTTGCTGGCCATTCTATTGATCCTCGCCTCCCTATCCAGCGATTTGGAAATGTTAAGTTGAGGTACTGGCGGACATTGATTTGGTAATGTGGAGATGCTCCATCTTGCTGGAACCATATGGTATTTGCTGGAACTTGAGGGTTTCCTGGATCAGGAAATAAATTTGCCAAACTTGGCACCACATCATTTTGTAGTAGTGCTAAATAATTATCGCCATTCAAATTCCCCTCAATAAAAAAGGAACCAGTAATATGGTTTTCAACAATCCCTGCCCAAACATTAACCTTTTGAGGGTATTGTGTATGGACCTCTCTCATCCAGTGAGGATTTTCAGTTGACCAGTAGCGGCAATTTTGACGATTAGCATGACCGTTAACGGAAAAAGTGCACTCATCAGAAAACATAACGTTTTCTAATTGGATGGTATTGTTATTCAACATTTCCATCATTTGTTCGCAAAAATTTGTTCTCCTATCAAAATCGTCTTCCATGAGTTCCTGAGTCGGTATCATTTTATAGGGATGCATTTTATTTTCATTTAATATGTTTAGTATCGATGTATGGCTGACATTAAATGTTGCAGATGCTTGTCTACTCGATGTATGTGGGTTTTCCTCAAACTCAAGCATCATATCTAATTTGATATCATCACTCAGTGCATTGCAGCGATTTTTTCAACTGCTTTACATGTCCAAATTCGCGAAATTGCTTCTCTATTTTACTAATTGTACCTTGGGATATAGGCGGCAAATTCGGAAATTTTTCATGAAATAGGCGAGCAACTTCCATTTGTGTTCGGGTGTTATCTCCGTAACCAATCATCTGTAAAACTGTTATTTTATGCATTTCTGTTAATCTAACCATTTTTATGAAATTCAAACGACAATTATAATATTGACAATATCCTGCAGTTATAATTATTACAAACCAATTTGCTAAGGCGTTTTAAACAAACTAACATTGCTATGATAGTTTTTTAAAGGATTTTTTTAAATTGATATTAAAAAAGACCACTGATATGGTTTTTGCTTAGGTACTGTCTTATTATAAAGACTGAAATGGGAAATAGTAGTGTAGGTACTCTCGACAATTTCGGTAATAAGATGATTTTATTTTTTTTATGTTAATTTTTGCAATAAATTTAAAAACAATAACATTTTTGGATAGAGAATGAAGAGACCTTTCAAACGATATATCACAAGCCTATACTTCCCATTTAAAAAATTAGGAGTTGTAACTGTTACTCAAAGGGGGTTGAAGGTAGGGATCACATTTTTACTTTAAAGAATGTCAATTTATAATTTAAATTTGACGTGTTTCGGGATTTTCTATAAATATGTACAGTAATCGTAATAATGAATTTATTCCATTTGGCTTTTCCACACTGTATATTAGCATCACTTTGTATTAATAAAGTAATGCATTTACTTAATTATATTTGATGATAAGCAAAATATATATTTAAAACATCGTTTAACTACTGTAACTTTAGATACACACATTAGAAAAACTGGTCATAGAATTACAACTAAATTTTGTTTAATTATGTGCTGAATTTTTGTTATTGTAAAAATGTAATAATTTATCATTTTGACGGAGAAACTTTTAAAATACAGAGTGTTGCATAAAAAACTGCCTTCCTTGTTTTTAAAGTTATATAATCCGTTTGACACCCTGTAGGACATAGAGCGACAGGCATTACATTTTTTAAATATAATATTAAAAAATCACGACACATCTTTTATACGGGATGACTCGTCAAAGCCGAAAAACAATATATGCCCTCTGTAACCACATTTATTAGTCACCCTGTATAAAATATGATGCATCATCAAAAAGCAATTACTTAAAATATATTTTTATTGTACAATTATAATTATTGTTCATATTTTTGACACTTTCATAAAAAATGTTATTTTCAAAAAAACATATTTCATATTTCCAAACCACCCTGTAATAAAGCAATTTTTTCAATAACTTTCTATAAAATGTCAAATTATCTATAATTCATATTTTTTACATAAAAGTGGTATTTCCGATGTTTAACACCCTGTACATCGAAAACTAGTTATATAATCGGCTTGGGTCAATTAATGCTTTTCAGAAAATTTGACGAAAACCATTTTTCCATAAGAAAGATGCCTGGTCCTTTCTTTAATCGAGAAATTATTGGTTTTACCAATATGATTAGTTTTCTTGACCTAGAAAAAATGTGCGAACAATATGAAAAAAAAGGGTATAGGTATAGATGCAAAAAGTAAATATACAGACAATTTGTTTTGAAAAATATTCTTGAGGTCATACTAACGAATTTTTACACGTATAAAGGACAGGATCTCATATCAAAATCTAAATCTCTAATATCGAGATTTCTCTTATATTTTGGTAAGGTATTTTATTAAAACAAAAAACTACAGACATGCTTAATATTTAATTGACTGAAGAAGTAATTTTACTTGATATGAAAACAGGTTTTTGTATATTAAAATTTAATTATGAAAAATTCATCTTATTGATAAAGTTTGGGTCATCTGTACCACGTTTTTGAAATCTATAAAATACCATATTTTATTAAAATCCAAACTTGAAATATTTTAAGATAACCTTTCTTGAAACATATGTAATAAATGTTTGCTATTTTGAATTCCATGTAAATTACTTGTTTTCAAATTATGTAAAGAAAGTATGTACCTACCAAACAATTTAAAAACAAATCAAATGATCGAATAATACGTATATGTATAAGCACTAGGTATACTCATATACATATGAAATCAACTTAATGTTCCAAGCTTATTCCTAGTAATTTTAATACATAATAATATAGGTTGCTAAATGTATTTTAAGTATCATTACATACATCCAATGTAGGATGTTTCACCCAAATCCAAGAAAATTAGCGTATAAGAGAAACATTCTCTACTTGTTGAGAATTATTGAACATAAATGTTAAATGTTTAATATTATGTGTTAAGTTTAATGTTGCATCAAATAAATCGAGTAGACTGAAACAGCTTTTATGGAACATTTGATTTTAATAGATATAAAAACGTCAATAGGTACATTAATAAATGTTCAGTAATACTAATCATAAATATAATAATGTTACAATAATTACTGAAGTAATATAATGTTTATAATATATAGATGTGATGCTACTATTTAAAAAATAACACGAGTTTCAAATAATTTCAATACAATACTAGTCCAGTAAATGAAAGACTGAAAAGATCGAAAGCTGTAAAAAAATCGCTGATGAGTTCCCACGTACGTAGCTCAATTTGTAGATCATGGCAGGTGTTTTTAAATAAGAAAATCCTAAACGCGTTCTTGGTACCGGAAGGGGCTGAAAATGGACCCCTAAACTCTGAAAAACGGGTTTCCCGCTAATATCTGGCTAAATATACCAATTGCAGAATTTTTATTCGGACAAAAAATGAA